TAAATGGGAACAAGTTTACAATGTGCCCCAATGATTGGATTATTTTTTTTCCTATTTAATTCACTGAAAAATATTATTTGGGTATGAGAAATATAAATAGCTATCAAGAATCAGGTCAAGCTTTTCCAAAAAATTATCGATTAAAATTCTGCTTTTGTGGAAATACATTAAAGAATACATTAAATAAGTAGGAACAAAAGCTCCCTAGCACACTAACATAATCAGAGTTGAGTATTATCATGTTGGCTTTAGCCAGATCCTAGCAGGTAGCCAGTTTATACAAGTCACTCCAAAAACGAAAAAGAAATATGCATATCCTGACTTTGTAAGAAGCTGCCTGTTAGCATCTTACTATCCTTTTTTTCTCTTTCAAGAAATTTTGAATCCAAAGACCAATAGGTTGACTCATTCACCAGTGGAGAGTATCAAAGAAAATAAAATTTAAAAACTAAACAGCAGATTTGACAAGCTGCCTGCCATCTGAAAGTGAGAAAGAATCTGATATTAATTGAGCATCTTCTGTGCAAACTATATGCTGTACATATGTTTCTTCAAAATATCTCTTCAAGAAAAGGATAATTATCTCCATTTTATAGAAATGATCATTGAGACTCAGAGAGGTTAAGTAAATTACTTAAGTAACACAGTTAGAAAATAGCACAGGGAGAACTGAGACCCAGGATTAACAAACTCTAAAATCCATGCTCTTTGTAATCTACATGTAGTTTGTCTTTCTATGACTGCTCCTGGTCTAGCCACCTCTTTTGTTTCTTTGTCTATACCAGCATCATTCAACCTTCTGTTTCCAGTGCCAGCAGCAACGGACACCATGGCAGGAAAGAATGCCCTACCCAGACAGAAGGTGACAAGTATAGAGAAGGCAGGGAGCTAAATGCTCTTCTGTTTTGCTGTTTTTGTTTATTTATTCCCTGCTTTATTTCATCAAAGCTTTGAGATTGCCAGTGTAAAATGTAAGATATCATAGGAAATTAATAAATGAATCTGGTACTGTTCTATAAGTGGAAATATAATTAACTAGGAATTAAGAAAGCTGAGATTTAATTTCTGTCCTGCCACAAATACACTATGACTGTGGGTAAGTCCTTTTATTTCTCTAGGTTTCAGCTTTCCCATCTGCATATTAAAGTGATTGCACTTGATCAAATGTAATGCTCCCTCCAATTCTTTTACTCTACAGTTTTAATTCTACCCATATACTTCAGAGGCAAGTAAAGTGTGATAATAGTGTCCACTGTAGCTCACTTTGACACCTGATGAGGTCAAGCATTTTTCTCAAGTGATTCCCAGATGAGGAAGTGAATAGCAGCTTGGGACACATGTGTACAGGTGTGTAATCTGACTTTTCATGAGCAGTTGTGATCAGTAGGTAATCAGTCTACTGGCTTACATAATACCTATGCAGGAAAGCATTCCAACCAATGCTTTCACTGAGTCAGCATTCAAACATCAAAAAGGTCAGAGAGTTACAGAACATACTTTAACATCTACCCCTTCATTAAAAAGGCCCACCCTGCCTTGCCTGTCTTCTTGCCAGATGCCCTAGCTTAGCTCTGAGGAGACTTAGAAGCAGCCTAATTAAAATTCTGCTATGTATTGTCATTACTAAAATACTCTCTATCTTAGAGATGTCAAAACAACAAAATTTGGTAAGCAATGTCAAAACAACAAAATTTGGTAAGCAATTAGGTTATAGTATGATTTAATTGCACTGGTACTCAGACAGAGGTGAGGATGGCTGGTGTTCTTGGTGTGGAAAGCTATAACCCAGGGCGGTAACTTACTTAGACATCTGCTGGCAGGACACTGACAATTCATGCACAGAAGTTATGTTGAAATGATGGAGCAGAACAGCTCCTAAGGTGCCGTTACAGTCTATTGTCCCTACAATGTATATATTTAACAGAGCCTAAATACCCTGTGACACAGCCAACCAGAACAACTCCATTGGTGCCGTTCTGGCCGATCAAGTCAACAATGTTTCATTTTAAAGTGCCAAAATAGGGATTTACCCAATACAATGAGACCTATCATGAGCAAACGTGTAGCCATATGGACACATATATGATTCTATATGTACTATAAAGATATAAGTATCCTTATGCCTGTTAGTAAGTGTTGGCCCACATTTATGATATACACAAAGACTGTCTTGTATACATCTAACATTACTAAATGTAAGAAGCTATAGTGGACAGTGTTGTGCAGCCCCAATCCCCCTTCAGTACTGGAAGATTTATTCCCTCAGCTGCTGGAAATGCTGTTAGTAGGTAGCCCTTAGCTGTTGGCCCTCTTCAGCACTGCCTTAGCTGGAGAGAGTCACCTCACTCAAGGTCATGTCCTCTTCCCATAGCATCAATTATCCAATGACTGGTTGATGCAGGTATATAAAAGCTCACACTCTCACCCCAACTTAGGACAATTCTGAATGGCCGTAGCAGCCTGGAAACTTCCTTTGAGGTTGCTAGAGGACCTAGTTGAGACGGCACCAGAACACAACCTCTCCCTCTGTACAGTCCTGGGTTTAAAAAAAAATAAAACTTGTTTATTTTCTGGAAATGGGGTCTCACTATGCTGTACAGGCTTTTGTCTTCTCCCTTCCCTTAGCAATCCTAAAAGCACTCCCTAATAAACCTGCATGCTGATCTTCATCTCAAGACCTATTTCCCAGGAAACCCAAATCTGTGCCACATTCTTCTGCAAAGAGTGTCCAAATGAGAGAAAGAAGAGGTACGCTTAATAAATTATGAGGTTTTATGTCAACAGCACCACAAAAAATTACCTACAACTGTATTGTGGCCTACAAAGAATAAATTCATAAATCTAATGGAAAGATCTTATATTTAAGGAAACGGATGGTTCTAACATGAATAATTTTGAAGAGAGTTAAACTGAATTTGTCACAATTCATTTTCCAGTTTAATTGCACATTATATATTAATATTTACCCTCTTTGGCTCAGAAGAAAATCTGATGCTCAGAAGAAAAAGTAGTGCCCCATGGAACCCCATAAAATTAAGACTGATATTTTGATTATGAGAAAGCCAAAGCTACCATCACAGGAATCCATTAGTGCTGTCCTTCATTTATTCTTCTAACTTAAACTAATCTAGCAAGCAATCATAGATACTCATTGTAGATACTAAACAAAGCCTACAAGAATCACAAAATATATGTGTAAAATAGTGACATTATGCAGGAGGGAGAGAGACCATGTTAAGGAGAGCTCATGAACACAACATCTCTAATAATGAACTTTTCCAGTGCTCCAAATTCAACCCCAGTAAGGTTGTCTACTGAGAAAACAGCTCCCTTCAACTTGGAAACCAGGGTTTTCTGGTTCTGTAGAAACAATATTGCAGCTTACCTTCTGGGACTCAGTTATATTCAGTGTGATATGTTTTAGGTCAAGTTCAAATTTATCAATCAATCAATCAATCAATCAATCATCTATGTATCTATCTTGACCTCATCTCTCATCCGTCTCCCATGTGTTCCAAAGCAAAATAAAGTTTTATCCTTTTAAACTTCAGACTTTTCCCTCCCAAATGAATTTAAAAAGTCAATGAGAAATACTTAAAATTAATCTGTAGAACTTGAAGTTAATAGTGTCTAAGTTTGAACTTCAACAGACAATACAAATTCAACAACATAGGGTACCATGGAGAGAACTCTTGTGTCCCCTCAAAATCCATTATCTTGAATCCCCAATCTCCAATGTGATGGTCACTGGAGGTGGGTCTTCGGGAGGTAATTAAGTTTAGATGAAGTTATGAGGGTAGAGCCCCCATGATCAGATTAGTACCCTTCTATCAGATAATCAGAAATTTTCACTCAGTCTACTAATAGCCTCACAACCAGTCTCCCTGTTTCCATTCTTAACCTCCTATATAGTCCAATCTTCCACAGTAGGCAGAATGATCTTTTATACGTAAATCAGATCAAGTCAATGTCCTAGACAAAATCAGTCTAGGGATTCCCATCACACTCAGAATAAAATGAAAAGCCTTTCCAGGGTCTACCAGGTCTAATAAGCTCTGCCCACCCTATCACTTTTACTTTATGATCCCCTGCTGTGCTGTCTCTTGTGCCATTCTTGCCACACTGGGCCTCCTTGGTGCTGATCTGATCCTCCAAGGGCCTCCACGTTCATCATTCCCAGTGCCTGGAATGCCCCTGCTCCTGCCTTTCATATGGCCTGGACTGTTGCTTCATTCAGATGTCAATGTCACTTCCTCAGAGAGTCTTTACCACTCCATGTAACATACCAACCCTATAACACCCTATTCCTTTAACTTGCTTCTTCTATTTTTTCTCATGGCATTTATTGACTTCCTGCCATTATATTTTCTATTTAATTGTTTATTTCTTCATTGTCTGTGCTCTCCTGTTAGAATATGAGCTCTAGGAAAGCAGGTATCTTTGTCAGATTTGCTCACTGCTGCATCTCCAGTGCCTAGAACAGAGTCCATCATAGAACAAACAATAAATAATTTGCTGGATCAAAAACCAAATGAATGCAATTTGCAAATTGCTTTGTTTTGCTTCATTTTTTGTCCTGGTTGTCAGGAAGTTTAGTATTACATTTAATGGTGAGTCACGGTAACATATTAGTCTTCATTGTAAACACATATGTGTCTTCCTTTTTTAATATTCTGGTACTCTATTTTTATTCTAATAACATCATACATCTCCTTTATTTTAAGATACATCTATTTCAGAATGTGACAGAAAAACACACCAATAGGCAGGTAGGTTGGGTGCCTGGGAGGCAACTTACACTGGGTGGGAAAGGGCATATTTGTTAATCAGCAATAATGCTTACAGATATTACATGACAGATTTTAGTAAAGTACAAGACAGCCCTCAAGCTGGAAGCCCAAATCCATGGCTGCAGGTTGATACCTGGGAGCCTGGAAAGAACCACATGAGAGTGAGCCAACAAGTCTAGCAGATCCAGTGACACAAGGAAGCAGTTTTACCTTTTCATTCCTGCAGTTGTTCAGCCCCATATTATTTATGGAGGACAGTTTCCCATCAACACCATGTGGCTGTTGCTGCTGTTGTTCCCGCTGGATCTGCTCTCGCATCTTCCGCGCCTCCTGGATGGCTTTCATCACCGTATCCTGATCCCCAAAGAGGGCAGGGGAGTTGAGACTAGACAGGATATCTGCATACACAGTAAGCATTATTAGAGGCTTGTGAGGTCAGACTCCTAAAAAGTACTACTACTATACCCTCCCCTGTAGAAAACTGCATTCTCTGAACAAGGAAGGGGTGCACATTTGCTATTTTTTAAACTATACAATAATATACATAGAACACAGAACCAGGGCAACCAAGTTGTGCTCGGTTCTTTTAGCCCTTGGAGAAAACCCCAGCACTCCAGTCTATCTGGGTTCTGTCTACCCACCTCCTCACAGACTAAGGTTCCTAGACTCCAATTGTATACATATTGGGGGAAGGTATTTGCTCTGCCTGTTATGTACAACTGGTGCACAATGCTGCTTCTTCTGTGGGGAAATTATGGGGAGGAAGGGGGTGAGCAGTGGGGAGGAGGCAGAGATGTTTGTCCAGGCTACCCATTACAGTTGCTGTGCTAATACAACACAGTCGTTTCTGGCCCGCAGGAAAAAAAAAAAAAAAAATCTGTGAGGCTGCATGTGTACTTTAGTGATATCTGTATCTGTGTGTTCATATGTCCACTGCAGGAAAGAGGGGGCGGAAGGAATTCACCGTACTCTCCAGTCCCCCAGTTGCTGGCTGGTTAATGAAGCATTCTTCTCATTAGGCTGCCTCAGTTATTTACCAAGAGAATGACAACCCATTCCCCACCCCCAGCTCGAACACCCATTGCGATCAGCTCCCTCTATTCACGACAGTGAGGCGATATGTGTGGGACTGGTTTTCGCATAACTACAAAGCTTCAAAAAAGGTGAGAATAAATATTTACTTCCAGTGTATTCCATGCAACACAGAGGGAAAAATTTCAATATTAAACTGACTTATTTTCCATGATATCTTGCATTTTACTGTAACATGAATACTTTGAATAAGATTTTCCAGTTTTAGACAAAAAGAGGGCAATTGTTTGATGATAGATAGGTTTCATCTGCTGTAACAAATGTTAGTGTGATCCACTTGCTTAAGGGCTTGTATAAGCAGTTCATAGCATGTGTGTGTGTACACCTCACATAGGCAGGACAGAAGAAATGAGTGCAGAATCAAGCTCATACTGGATGTCTGGTGTGTACAATGCACGTGCATATGCATTTGAGTTTGGAAAAAATTTCCAAGCTATCTATGGAATTTTTTTTAAGTCAGTCACTTTTTAGCCCCACAGCTTTTATTCTGGAGCTTTTCTGGTAAAAAGACCATTTCTATCCAATATCATCTGGACAAGAGTGCTGTTCAAACACAGGTACTATTATTTCAGCCCATTTCTAGCTCATGATCTAAGAAATATGCTTTGCTGAGTCGAGTTCCATAAAAGCAGGGCCTGTGACTCAGTCATCTCTGTCTCTCATGATACTCAGGACAGCAAACAAATGCTTTCCAAACAATTTCAGAGTGAATTCTAGGAGGGCCATTTCAAGGTCAACTCTATAATTTATCTTCTTGTTGGCTTTTTTCCCTCATCTCACGACTTCCAAAAATCCAGCCAAGGGGTATTCATATTCACATGCTGGAAATGATTTAATTCTATCTTCTATACGCATACCACTAACTTGGCATGAAAACTTTCAGGTCCCGAAAAAGGCATCCTTACTCAAAATGATTATGCTCCTGTAGAGATCCAGTATTCCAAAATTCAGTGAGGAAGATTTACATCTCACCATCAGAAGATTCACTTACACTCATCATATTTAGCAAATATTCTAACTGTGAGTTTACAAAAAGAACACTGAGTAACATGTGAGAGGACCTGGATTCTAGTCCTGTTTCTGCTAATTAACAGCTGCAGGAGTGTGGGCAAGTCATTCTACCTGTAAGAACCACAATGTATGTATTTGTACAATGAGGGTAATAATACACTATCTAACTCATAAGATTATTGTGAAACATCGAATCAGATAAAATAGGCAAGAATTTTTTTAAGCTGTTAATGGCTATTCTTATACATGATTTTATCTATTGAAATAAACATTTTAGACTTCAGAACTCAATAACACAAGGAAGGTAATCTGAAGAAATGCCAGGTCTTGTCCCTTTAATCTTTAAATCTGTGTGTGTTTGGAAATTATGTCTCTTAATTTTCAAAGAGTATAAGTATAACAAATTAAGAGACTTAATTTCCAAACAAAGAGTATAGTAACAATAATGTTAATGCTTATTTGGCACTCTCTTACTGACAACTACTTTCACATTTATTGTTTCATTCCACTTACATACGTACATGTATTGATATTCATTCCAGTTTTTTTAAATTGAATGCCTTTTAGGTTCTAAACTGCACGAGGCACTTTATACGTATTTTTCTCTTTTAATCCTCATAATAACCTATGAGCTAGTAATACTAGGAAACTGAACTTGAAAATATTAAATAACTTTTTTGGGGCCACATAGCTAGAAAATGAGGGCTTTCTGTACAAGCCTGCCTCATTCCAAAACCCATGTTTTTTCCTCCATACTTTTCACATAGGGCTATGAATATTCCCAGAGATACTTGGCTATATATCTCCACGGGAGTATAAGGAGTCAGACATTATGACATCTCTTCCTACATATCAATAGTATTTCATATATGTTCTTGAAGTGTGTCGTTCATATTTGTTTTACTGCAAAAGTAATATGGGATAAGACGTAAAATTCACATACACTTTGATAGAAGATAAAAATTTCAAATAAATTTTGGCCTTTTGGAAGGTTGCTTTGAAGCCAGGTCCTATGTCCCTGAAAAATTATTTCAGTGTCAAAGCACTGACCAAATATAGCAATTGCTAAGTCTATGATTTGCTGCATCTAACTCATTATCATCTAAAGAATCCATCCCAGCAGGATTTATATCATGACCTTTTCCAAAAGTTCTAATAAAAGAAGATTCTAAATTGGTTTATGTTTCAGTAGAAAATATGAGTATTATCTTTTACTAAGGAGCACTTTGGAAACAAATATCAGTCATAACTAAACAGGTTTGCTTTCTTTTACCTAATTCGTAAGTCTCCTCCTGGTGTTGACTTTTCCATTTACCTAAAGAGGATCCTCTTCCCAGACTTCCTCCAATGGGGCTAGGGATGCTGCTTTTGTTTGGCAGATTGACAGGGCTGGTTTTGCTGGCTGGGAAGAGGTTCTGGGTGGGAGACGTTGGGGATTTTACAGGCTCTGCTGTCTTGGGTCGGGATGAGAGATTCAGAGGCTGTGCTGCTGCTTCATCCTACAAGAGTTTAACATAAATAATTATTTTTACAAAAGACAAATGAAGCACATTATCACTTAGTAAGCCACAGTTATTTTACACCTCAGAGACAATGCCACATTCTCCTACAAAAATAACAAAAGAAGCTAATTATCTACCTCCTTGAAGATTCATCGGAAGGAAACCTCATTAATTTCCCTGCGTTATGTTTCTATTTACATTAACTGTGCAGTTGGATCATTCTTTTTGCCAAATTAAAATCTGAATTAGCTCACATTACAGCTTAATTTCCTAATGTGTTTTCAGGGATCTAAATTAACCTAGGGCATTTACAAAGAATTATTTAAAATTTCAGCAGCTCTGTAGTGCTTTTGTGTTATTCTCTCTGAAAAGTTCTTGTAGCTATAAACAGCCTCTGCAGCTAATTTTTTAATATATATTTTAAATCAAACAATTGCAAGCACTTTAAAAATGGAAACATGGAAAGCCTTCTGATGTACTAGGCCCCTGCCCAGGGAGCCGCATGCCACAACACGGCTTCTATGTGGCTTTCTGGGTGTGGGCACTCTTCATGGTCTATATTCTGGTCTCTATTCATGTTTAAAATTAATTTTTGCAAAGACCAAGGATAGATTATAATTATGTTTCACATACTATGCTATATGCAATTTATTTTTCATGTTTAAAGTGATGTTTCTTTATATGCTTTTCTACATATATTTACAGAATGTCTATTTTAAGATACATGTCCTTCTACACTGAGACAGTATTCAAATATCTGGCTTTTAACTGTAGTTCATCCAGGAGCTTGAAAGCTAAGCTCCTTCCTTTACTTTGTCTCATTTATCCTGCCATAAAATACTCGAAATAACACTTTCATCATCTTAGAAATTTAGTTATAATATGAGCATATTTATTTAAATGTTCAGTTTTAAGATCTACATTATTGTGTTCTAAAATAAAATTGTCAGCAAATGTTAACTCCCATTTTGCTTTTGAGAAGGCGAACAGAACTAGCTTTTAATGCCATTGTTTAAAAGATCCAATAGAGTTTGGTAACAGAACATTTTCCCCCTTAGTAACCATGTGACCTTGCTGGGGCTCAATTTCTTCATCTGTGAAAAGAGGGTCTGATACTAGATGATCTCTAAGGTCTCTTCCAGTACTAATATCATTGACTAAGGGGGAACAGAAAGAGAGGCCAGAAAATACTACTTTTGAAGGAAGATTAGAAAGAGAAAATAAAAACGGCATGCACAAAGAAGCAATTATATACCAAGGACTGTACTAAGCATTTTCACATACTAGCTCATTTAACCATCAATAGCTATGAGCCTGGCCAGTATTATTCTAAATTTACAAATAGGAAAATGGAGGTCAGAATGACAAAATCCCTTGTCTAAGGCCATATAGGGAGGGAAAGAATTTAAATTCTAATTTATTTGACTCCAAATTTCAGGCCCCTTTTCTACTGAACTACCAGAGAAAATAAGTCTATTGTTTGATAACATAGTGATGCCACAGATTTTTGTGTGTGTGTTCATAGGGAAAAGGCAATTTCTCACATGCATTGCAGTGTATGTTTATGTATATTTATACATAGGACAGGTTCTCAAGCAACATGGTTACATCCATTATGAATGTCAAAATTATCTTATGTACTTAATTGCAATTTACTTCCCTTTGCTCTTAATTCAAAGGATGTTTGAACTAGTTTGTTCCTTTGCTCACATCTAAATAATAGTGATTTATATGGTAGGTGGTCACTTAATTTTCTCCACGTTTCCTTTATTTGGGGCTCACTGAGCTTCTAAAACATCTAAATTTAAAGTATTGATCAAATTTGGATCATTTTCAGTCATTACTTCTTCAAATACAATTTTCTCTTTCTTCCTTTTCTTTATGGGCCTCCAACTGCATACTTTAGTCTATTCCATGTTGCCCCACAGTACTGACCAGTCTTTTTTCTATGCCTTTCATTTGGGATAGTTATATTGTTATGTCTAAGTTCACTAATCTTTTCTTCTGAAATGTCTAAGCTGTTGCTAAACCCATCTAATACACACACACAAACACACACACACACATATATATTTAATCTCAAACATTGTATTGTTCATCTCTAGACATTTGATTTAGGTTTTTCATGTCTTGCTTTATCATGCTCTTGTTTTCCTCTATATTCTTGAACATATGGAGTTTATTACATCTTTTTCAACTTTGAAATACTCTATTTTTTTACTTAGTTGTATAATTCAGTAACTGCCACTTTAATCAATAATACCACTGGGCATGGCTAGTGCCTACCAACTCCCAATTAAGTGAATCCTTTTCCACCACGGCAGAACTCTTGGTCCTCACAGCCTGCCCTGTCCTGATAACTTTGTGCTAACCAAACCTGGGAGTAGGGGAAATAACAATAGCCCTAGGCCAGAATGTCACAGACCCCCACTATTCTTACATATAAGAGGCATAAATATTTTCGCAGATTGTACATAACTTTGGTCATTTTTAAGAATGCCAAAATGACTGTTTTTGTCAGTTTTGTCCAGCTTCATAGATGAGATTTTAGGAAAGCAGATGCTTACCTCATTTGGTGCTACTTGGAAATCTCTTATAATAGTTGTTCTTACTTTCTGATCTACTAATTCTATCATTTGTGTCATTTTGGGTTTGTTTCTATTGATTGATTTTTCTCATTATTCATATTTTTTGCTGCTTTGCAAGCCTGATGTTTATTGTACGGATGCTACACGTTATGAATTTTACCTTCTGGGGTGATGAAGTTTATGTATTTAAATATTTGAAAACTTTGTTCTGAGACACAGAACAATTTGATCCTTTTCTAGACTTACTTCTAAGCATTGTTAGGCAAGGTCAGAACAGCCACTAAGTAGGGGTAATTTGTCCCCACTACTGAGGTAATACCCTTCTGGGGACTCTACTTGATGCTCCATGTGTCAGGAGATCTTTCCACTCTGGCTATTTCTGGTCCTTTGTGAATCTTGCAGCTGTTTTGTTTGCTACATTCTGGTGTTTCCCCTTACCTCAGGTAGTTTCTCACATGCATGAGCTGATCAGTACTCAGCTAAATACTCAGGGGGAGCCTTTTGCAGATCTTCAGCATTCTTTCTCCATGCAGCTTGCTCCTCTCTGGTACCCTGTCTCACAAATTCCATCTGCATTAACATCCCTAAACTTTGAACTCTGTTTCTCTACTCAGGGAGCCTATGAAGCTTCCTGCATAGTTGCCTGGAAACTTCCTTCCAATAGTGAGCTGCAACAATTGTAGTGCTTGCCTCACTTGTTTCTCTTCTCATAGGAATCACTGTCCTGTACTACTATTGTAAATGTCTGAAAACCATTGTTTTATATAATTTTTGTACTGAGTTTTAGTTGTTTAAGCTGGAAGAGTAAATCTGATTTTGTTCCCTCATCATGATTGACAATGGAAATCCTCTAGGTGTTTATTTAGGATCTCTCCCAGTGTACAACTAGATATTTCAATCACAACCACTAAAACCACCACACTATCTTCTTCATTATCATAACGACCACCAGCAGCATCACTACCACTGACATTTATAGAATACTCAGTATAATACTAGAGGGTGTATATACAACCTATAATAATATTAACTCCATTTTTTTTCAGAGGAGAAAACTAAAGTAGAAAGCCACTAAGTAGCTTGGCCAACATGATAGAGCTAGTAAAAGTGGTAGAACCACTATTTTAACAGAAACATTCTGACTTCTGATGTTGACAGTTATAGTAGACAAAAATTCTAGGGGGAAAAGGTACATCAGAACATCTATATTTATTTTTGTTACTTTCAGCAAATGTTGCCTATGTTCTGTCTGAATTTAATATAAGTAGTCATGTTATATACAGAGAAAAAGCAATGACTATAAAGAGAAACATGAGAGATTTTGGTAACCACAGTTCTTTAAATTAGCAAACTATAAGATTATTTTCAGAACATCTTCAGTAATAGATAGGAGTTATATTTTAAATTTAAAACATTTGCTTTATGTTTTGGTCTATATATTTTTACCCATATATACAATAAAAAGTCTAATAAGTAAAAGAAATATTTCCTTTGTTATTAACATAGAATATGGTCAAGTCAAACTACCGCAGAGAGATCTCTAAGAATTTTCATGTGGTCAAGTGAGTAATAAAATTCAGTTGGCTCACAAAGATGGAAGGGTAAAAGCAGATATAAACTTGAATTTAACCAAGGAACATTTTACTCATCCAGTAAAGACTTGGTTTGGTGCAGTTCCAGTTGGTCAACTTACTTATAAAATGACTTCTTTATGTTAAAATATTTAATACTGAATAGCTCAAGTCACTGATATTTGATATACTCATACTCTAACAACTACGAGTAAGCAAAGTGTCTTTGAGTTGGAGTGTTCTCTTATTCACAAACACAAACTCTGGAAACATAAAATAATCTGTTTTCACAGTGATTCTGTCTTACTAAATGTAAACCTCCTATTGTAATATCTCAATATTTCTAACAACATAACATAAATGTTCACCGATTTCTTTGGAGAATCTAAAAGAATAGGTGGCATTAAATTAATTCCTTTGGTTGGAACATAGACAGAACTACCTCTCTTAATGATTTTCACATTTTTTGATCTTTGGTATTTGGGATCTACTTTTTTAAAAGACCTTCTGGAATCTCAAAATTACTATATGCAAATTTTAGAAAACAAAACAATTTCGGTGATTGTATACCAGCCAATTATTAATTTGGTTGGTCTCAGCTGTTTCCCTTGTGAAGATTTAATAACTGCAAAATTTCTCCAAATGCAGTACTTTAATCATATTACAATAAAGCATTTATACTTTGCATACTCCTCCAAGTAGAGAAGTCAATTATACAAAACAATTGTTCCTCTGTTTGAATTTGATAATTCAATATAGAAAGCAACTGCAATCATAAAACCAACAAGTGCCACCTACAGGTACCAGCTGCAGCACAAAATTGCAGTGGCTCATCAATTTCCCTCTCACCGAGTGCCTCCTGGCTGCCCAGTTTCAAGACACTGAAAATTAGTGAGAAAAGATATCTATTAATGTCCCAGACATAACTTGGGAAAGCCTGTTTATCCTATCACAACTCTATGGCATCAAAAGCATTATTAGGCAATGACAACTCATTCCTTAAACATGTATAACTAGTTTTGAAGGAGAGATCTTCACAACAAACCTTACAGAGTCCAGCATTAAATTCTATTTTGCACTTCTTTTTAAATCCAATGTTTCAAGATCCCAATTCTCTGGTCCTATAAGTTAACTCCCTCCCTATTTAAGACACACAGAGAGAAGTGCCACAAGTCCATAACAAAGACTGGCAATAAAATTATGGCCATTCATGCCAATGAGCATTAAAAAATAAAAGCCAGAATCTAAAGGGGGAAAACTCTCGAAAAGTCAGTTTGCAGATTGAGGTAAAGATCTCACAATATGGCACTATTGTTATCAAAAGGGAAACACCTGTTTCTCAATGCTCAATCATGAAATTTACCACAAAGAGGGACATTTTGGTGTTGCTTTATGTTGCTATGTTTCCTGCTGTTTATGCTCAACATAGCCTGCTTCACTATCTTTCTTGTGAAACTATTTTCTAAACTGTTTCCACAATCCTGCAAGGTGAGTACCTTAACTTGAGTTACAGGGCTGGTCCCTCTCTTTTCATTTTTTATCCCAGTAGGTGAGACCGTCCCTGCTGTGTTTGGTGGCTGTGGAGTTGATGGCATCTTTGCTCCAGGTGACACCTGCATGCTGGCCAGCTGAGCGGCATAGAGCTGCTGTAAAACAGGGAAGACAAATATTGATCTTTTTAAATGCAGCTGAAATTGAGTTAAAAAAAAAAATCTTACCATATTGTTAGATTTCTCAGATAGCCTTGTAATTTCTTTTTCATTATTTTTAAAAAAGGAAACTAAGAGAAGGCAAATAATAAAACAGAAAGAAAGAAGACAGGTCTGGGAGCCATAGTTCTGTTCCTGGTCCTTCTAGCAACAGCTTTATGATCCTGGACAAAGGATTTGATCTTTTTAGAATTCAGTTTTGTTTTTTATTTAATTGTACAAAAAGGAATTCGACTAAGTAGTCTCTAAGATGTTTTTTAATACCTAAAATCTTTATTAAAAGTTATTTAAATATCTGGGATGTCCACTTGTGTAATATTAATATTCATGAATTAAGAAACTAACCTGAACATTTCTAAAGATTCTTGGAAGAACTGTATCATTCTTATTCAGCTCTGGCTATGCATCCCTGGGTATTCTGATCCTTCTGAATAATGAGTGCTGTTCCCAAGGCCACTAAGGCCCAGTGGCAGTCATTGTTTACCCAGGGTCTTATTTCTAGGCAGCATATAACATAATCCTCAAGAGAGTATAGCCAAATTGGTAGCAGTTTTGTTGTTGTTGTTGTTGTTTCTTAAGTCAAGCTTCTCTAAACCCAAACCAGCTAACAAAGTGCTTCCTTCATGCTTCCAAACAGATCACCACACTTCTCTCCTCAGGTCCTGCCTTTTTCTGGGACTCCACATTTATCTTCATCATATTCTCATTGCTGTTTCAAGGTCTTTTCTGAAGTATTTTCTGTAGTTCTCTTTGGCAAACCAATGATCTTATTACTCATTCTATTTACTCAGCTTAAAATGGTTCCTCTTCTCTGAGACATGATAAGCAGATAATCTGACATTACAAATCTTTAAATTATCAACCTCAAAATATGTTGATTTCACTAAATTAAAGCCAAAGATTGAAAGACAGGTGGGCTAACCTCTTTTCATACAATTTTCATTTTTATTAAAGTCATTCTTGTATGTAGCTTTACAAGATAAATAGTACTTTAAGGTTTTAAAAAACAAAAAACCAAAACAGCAACAACAAAAAGAGCATGACAAAAATGTACAGTGCAGAGTCTCCACAGCTTGCAGAATGACCTTCATTTTCTTACCCTGGTCCTCCTTATCTCACCCCCTGTTCTGTGGAGATCATTCCCTTCAATTCATTTAAGGGTTTAACTGGTATTTATATCCTTATTTGTAAATCATTCTAAATGTTATATCATTATCTACATACAAAGGAAAATGAAAGTTTCACTTTCCTACATTGAACACCACATGTGCTCCCATGCTTCCCTCTCCAAACTCTTAATGTTAATGTCACAAATTTTAAAATTAGTGTTTACTGTTTTATATTATTTTATGAAGATACTAGCTATGTAGTAAACTATATTTAATATTATTTCTCAACTTTTTATTTTGTTAGATTTAAGATTTGCCTCATATTTTGTTTTCATAATTTTTAAGTAACTATCACTAATTCTCAAACTCTCCATGAAATCAGTAAAACTCTACCTAACATAATTGAATATATCAGGTAATCTGTGAACCTTGGTTTTTCCCTTGGAGACATCCTTCCTGGAATTCTCAATCTTCTTACTCCAAATCTGAACTAATTTATTCCTCAGGCCTACCTACTGCAGATCTACTGCACTTGGAATTCCTTTTGCCTCTCTTGTACCAGTGTCCTTGTTTCCTGGGTATCATGTTTTCTCCCCTTTTAGTTAACTGTCTCATTTTGGTAAAGCATATCCTCCAAGAGCTTCCTGAGAAAGGTGAATGTGACATTAATTATTTAGGAACTCACATTCTTCTCACTTGGTTGTAGTTTGACTGGTATAGAATTCTAAGTTGAAAATAATTCTGCCTCAGAATTCCAAAGATATTGATCTGTTGTCTTCCTATTCTTGTTACTAAGGTCCTGACACTATTTTGCTTCCTGATCCTTTGTATGTAATCTATTTTCTCCTCTAAAAGCATCAGGATCTTCCCTTTCCACTGAATGTTTTGAAATTTCACTATTATGTCCTTCTGTTGACTTTTACATTCATTGTTCTGAACAGCCACTCAGTCTTTTCAATCCAAACCATGTCTTTGTTTTCTAGGAAACTATTTTGATGTTTTTCATTGATAATTTTCTCTCCTCTGTATTCATATTTGATAAATGTTAGATTTCCTTATTAACCCTCTATTTTTCTTATTTTTTCTTTCTATTTGCTACTCTTTGACATTTTGTTACACTCTATGACAGATTTTTGGCAACTTCATCTTCCAAAACTTCTCTGAATGTTTTAAAGTTTCTACCACTATATTTTTAAAGATACTCTTATTCTCTGATTGCTTCTTTTTATAGCATCCTGTTCTCTATTCTGTTTGACAATGTTAATTACAGGTTTGGATTTGTTTTTAATGTTTTCTGTTCTCTGCATTGTTACCACTCTTCCAAGGTCTTTGAGCTCTTTCATATTAGGGGCTTTTCCAAAGGGTCTGGTGTTCATTGGTTGTTTATTCATATATAAGAGCAATGTACTAAAAAGCTGACTGGAAGATTTAAGTACAGGATAGACTTATTGATTTATGGGCTTCAGCATAAGGTAATGATGAAGAAAGTCTGCTTTTTCATTGGGAAATTCCAAATGTCAATATCTACAGGCCATTTATCTTAGACTAGACCATTTTCTCAGAGAGATGTCTTCAAATTCTTGCCTTGATTTGTGCATAGACTTGTATGCCATCATTACATAAGCCAAGCAACAGAAAGCAGGAGAAGAATCTCATAGTCTGGTCTATCCTGCAGATTCCCTGATTTTCACCATGGCACATCACTCATTCTCAGCTATGCCTGGTGTCCCAAGACATAAACCATTCAAGTTCTACTTTTCAAGAGAATAAATCTCCAGTGACTTCTGTCAGGTTATATGCTCATGGGGCTGGGAGGGAGGAGGCAGGGATTGTAGTTACCAGGTTGCATGACATTAGGGAGGGATCATCTTATATCTATTTTCAACCAGTCATCCTGTCTACAGTTCCACCTCTTACAACTGTTCCTTTAATGATACATGATGCCTTCAATTCCTAAGCATTTTAAAGGTTCAGCTCCCAATTGGGCTTGATTCTTTTTGGCTTTACACTCCTAAAGCTTGGGTATCAGCTTTCTCTTTTCTGCTAAGACAGTTATAACTCATCTATCCATTTCTCATATTCCAATTTTTTTTTGTCTTCTCTTTCCATTTCTACTTGAAGGTTTACACCTATAATCCTTAACCATAAATTTACTAGGATTTGGTTAAAATCGGTAATAAATGAAAATGTTGATCTGCTATGGTTAACCAGAAGTCAGACACTCCAATCTTAACACTATTTAATGCTTGAAAACTTCATTCAAATATTTTCTTTTCTTCTTTTTTTTAATTATTATTATTATACTTTAAGTTCTAGGGTACATGTGCATAATGTGTAGGTTTGTTACATATGTATACTTATGCCATGTTGGTGTGCTGCACCCAAGTCATTACCTTGATGGTCACATTTCTATCATAATAAATAGAAAGCTTCGTAGATCATCAACCAAAATAGCTCAAACTTTGCCATATGAGTAGGGGAGAAAAAACAGGTGGTTTGTATGTAATTTCTAGCATTTCTATCATTCAGATGGACAAATAAAAAAAATTACCACAGTAATCAAAAACAGACCTTTCAGCACATGTAATTAAATGAAAGCTTAATAAAGAATAATTTGCAAGAGCCAGATGTGCTTATGTCATGATTGTTGCTTTCTTTGGAACAATTTTTCTAATATAACAAGCCTCTAAAGAAATTAAAGTTTCATAATTCTGTATGCAATGACTCAGTGGCAAGAAAAATTCACAAGCAGAGTCAGTCAAATTGCTAGCACTTAGGCAAAATGAGGGGGGCATCTTTTTGGTTTCTCTTTTACTCTGTTGTATCATTTTCCTTTGAAATTCAGCCAGATGTCTTCAGAATGGGGACAGGTCAAGCTTCTGAAAATGTCTGCTTGGATTAAGGCAGTGAAAAAAAGTTCTATACTGAATGGAGTCAAGATGGTTATAAGATGAAACATGTTGACTATATAGTCCCGTAGCTGGTATCATAACCAATATATCCTACTATGAGTATTAAAGAGTCATAAAATCTTAGAGATGCTAAGAGTCCTTGGATATCATTTATGCCTTTTACCTCAGTCATTAAAAAGATCAAATGAATGTGAATTTTACTCACTCTTAAGTCTTTTGCGAAATTTGAACTAGTGAAAAATGCAGAAAAACACATTTTTGGAAATAAATCTATTTTTTTAAAAAAAGTTGGCTATGAATCCTTCAGATTGAAAGAATAATACAATTACTTTTCAGGAAAAGAGTAGTGTTAGTTGCTTCTTTTAGAGCTCTGATAATCATTTGTTTTACAGCCCTTTGAAGTGGGTTGTACCTAAGGAAGGCAAGACCACATAAACTCTGAGACTCCATAGAGCTGGTTCTTATGAGTTATGATTACTGATACATTAGAGAAAGGAAGAGGTACAGCCGCATTCCATAACCCTTTTCAAAGCTGGGTAAACTGGACAGTAGGATATCAGGTAAGATTTAGTAGAATGAGCCTTGAAATAGAAATCAGAAAATGGAGTCCAATGAAAAGATAGAAGGTATTCACAAAAATTAAAATATCCACATTCTGTCTAACAAAACATATGATTTTATTATAAATGTCATTCTATTCAGATTGAAGATTTTAAATTTGTCTTGGATAATATGAATGTCATTAAATGAATAGGTATAAGCTTACAAAATAATTTCTCAGCTCACCCTCTAAACTAACATCAGTTGAATTTGTTCCATGTGTAAGGCTCTGTGTTAGAAGCTGAGGAGAATTCAAAGCACACAGCTCTAAAGGAGATATAAAATATAAATCCTTAACACTTTATTTGTACTTTTT